CCAGTTACTACAAGGCTTATATATTCCATTCACTATGAATGTATGGTAATGAGAAGACACGGACACTTGGAGATTAGATATTTTTGTGGCCTAAGCACTTACCACATGTGTTTCTCTCTCCCCTACTTAACTGTAAGCAGCTGGAGGACGGGACTGGAGTCAAGGTTATTTTATGCGAATCTGGGATGTATGAGATGCCCTGTAAATAACATTTGACTGTATGAGGCTCCAGGGCTCATCAGCACCCACCCTCAGAGACAAAGGACTCCATGTGTACTGGCCAGTTAAGGACCAGACTAACACAGGAACAAATAGAGTCTTCTGCACCACAGGAAATCTTTGGGGACTTGGGAGGGTAGAGCCAACATGAGGTGACTAATCGAGGAGCTGTGCGATTCATCGGGCCAATTTGGCAGAGGTAGTGAGTGAAATGGAGGTAAGGAGAGATTTTACCTCTCACCCTACCTCAGAAGCACTTGAAAGCTTTAATACCTCAGACCATTTTGCTTTTCCTTATATTTTCAAACACATTATCTGTTACTGTTTTGTATTTATTAAATCACTTTCCAATTTTTGTACATTAAAGATATAAAGATAGGTTTTGTTCAGCGTAAGATAATCAGCCATCCTACATTGAACTGATCTAATTTTAGCTAAAAGCAAAGATAGATACCATTTTGTTTAGCCTGTGAAGGGTGAATGAGGTTAAGTATTCGGCTTACTATTGAACATTTGAAAATTTTAATTTTTTTCTCGGGTCCATCCCCACTGCCACACACCAGGGACACCTCAGGGACACCGGGGCCTGGAGCCTTTGCTGCACCCCTTTGGGACTGGCCTGGTTACGTGCTGCTGCCCTCTGATCTGAAGCGGGAGGTCATGGGGACAGTACTTTTTACCCATAGTTCCTCTGGGTCTGATAACTTGAATGCCTGGGAATACCAAGGCATTTGTCGTTCCCTAGGATACCAGACTATTATTTTAAATCTTACCAGGTACGTATAGTATGAAAGGTCAATATGCGCTTTTACTTGCAGATTATATGAAAGAACAGATTTCATTTCAGGTTTAATTAACAACAGGATAAATTTGAAAGTAGAGACTTTGTACAATTCAAATATGCATATGCTCCACATATATTTTTAAAGTTCTGTGCATTTTGGAAATCTAAAATATAATGAGTGTGCTGTTCTGTTGCCTAATGCTAAAACATCAGTTAATGACTTTACTAATTGTGCTTATTGAAGAAAAATCGTAAGCCTGCATAGCTCAATATGTGAAGATACATTTGGTTAATAGAATCAAAGGAAAGCCTGATTTAAAATTAATTAAGACTGTTCTAATCTCACCACTGCAGAAGTGAATTTTGACTTGGTCAGAAAATATTCCAGTTGTCATATAAGCTTTTTCTCTGATTTAACACCATACTCTTACTAAATATACATAGCAGTTACTGGTTCTCAGAAAATTCAGTTGCATATCTTTGGTTTCAGCTGATTCTATCTCAGCCAAGGAAAGGTGAGTGGGGAATGATCTAATTATTGCTTCTTGAACTTTTATATGCATATGAATTACCTGGAAATCCTGTTAAAATGCAGCTTCTGCTTCTGTAGGTCTGGGAGGGGCTTGTAGGTAATCCCATCACTGCTGGCCCTGGATCATTCTTTGAGTAGCCAGGGTTTAGCGAAGCTCCCCTCCCCCACGGACTCCTGAGTTCACCTTTATGCTGATTCTAAAGTTTGCTCCGCCTAGAGTTTATCATTTTATATATGGCTTTGAGTTTACTTGTTTTTTGTTCATTTCTGGACTCTCCTTTCCCCATGGGTGATCAGAATGCCAAAGTAAGTAGTAAGGACCCTGCTGTGGAGCAGAAGAGGGGAATTGGGACAAAGCCCCACTGGACTTGAGATGACTTGGTCCGGAATCCGTTGTGTGTCTCTGGATTGAATTATTGACAGTAATAGCCTTCTGTGCAATAGTGTGCCTGAAATGGACTCCTAAAAATAGTCTCAGGGGAGACGTTGGTTATTTTGGGAGCACTGCAAACAGCTGAGAGTGTGGTTCCATGAGGGTACCCTCTCCAGCTCCGTGGCGCGTGCCTGCAGTTGCATGTCCAAATGGGCTGAGAACGGCTCTGCAGAATCCCGTCCGACCTGCACAGATTGCCTAAGCTCCTGACACTGTTTTCAAGTGTGCAAGGTGACTTGGGTGTTCTGTAGCTCCCACACTCGCTCTCGGTAGCACTCTAAAAGGACCTGAGCCAAGAGAGTGGCTCAGTCAAAGTAGGTGTGTTGTGTTAACATCAGTATTTCAACTTCCATTGGAAATTAATGGACGATTCTCTGTTCTGTTTTAGCAACAGGAACAAGATCCTACTAACCTATATATTTCTAATTTGCCACTGTCCATGGATGAGCAAGAACTTGAAAATATGCTCAAACCATTTGGACAAGTTATTTCTACAAGGATACTACGTGATTCCAGTGGTACAAGTCGTGGTGTTGGCTTTGCTAGGTAAGCACGCTGCTCTGTCTTTACTATGTCAGTGACAATAGCTCTCCTGAGTTTCCTGCAAAATAAAAGTTGAGCGAGAAGAGAGAATTTAAGCCAGGGTTATGGGAGCCCAGTTGCACCATGAATTTAAATGTGTAAATATTGGTTTGTATTTTTTTTTTTTTCCAGATATTTTGGAAGTTCATTAGGATTCTTGAACCTGAAGACACTAAATATTTGGTGACTCAGGGCAAGAAACTATCACATGAGCACTAGTTTTGAAAATATGTGTCCTTAATGTTTTGATTAATTTGATCAGGATGCCTGTAACTTCTTAAAAATAACAATCATAGGTTCCTGAATTTCATAAATAAATCAGTATGGCTTTTCCCATTTGATGGAAATTTGATTCATCATAAATAAAGTCAGTGAATTAGCTTATTTCAATCATTCAGAGAGTAAGACAATAATAGGACACTTCTCTAACCACCAGTTGCTACACCAATTGTAACATTTTATAATTTTGCTTCAGATTTTTTTTTCTTTTTTAAGAAGCAAAATGTCACAGATCTATCTAAAGTGCCCTCACTTTTTCCAGCTTATTTTTATCCCTTCCTCTCCGGAAAGGATACTTTAGTGTAACGGTTAATTTTGTTTCTAAAAGAAAATTCTCAAACAGAAAGTGCTTTGAGTTTTGACATAGTTCTAACCTACAAGCCCATGTGTAAAAACTGATTTTCCATTATTTAGGAACCTGTTAGTACTGTGCAGGAACAGGTAATGTCTATGTGTTGACTTTGATTTTGGAAGAAAAACTGCTCATATTTTACTTTCATATACAACACCCTATTTGATGACAATCACATCTCCCACAGACCTGTAAAATCGACAAAGGCAGCATTGGTCACTATTTTATGTATAAGAAAATCGAGTCAAAGAAGAGCTGTTTCCATTGTTACCAGACTGCCAAGTAATGAAGCAAAGTCTAGTACTTGGTTCTTCTGGCTTTTAGTTGATTGCTCTTTCTGTTAGGTCAGATAATTTTAAGGTGAAACTAAAATTTCTATAGGTGGAAAGTCACCAAAACTTGCATTTCCAGTGTACACTTCGTTGTTTAAAAGGATCCGGGGGAAATAATGAAAAGCTCAGCACCAGCTAAAAAATCATCGCCTCTGTGGGGGTGCTGAAAGAAGATCAAGTAGTTTCAGTTTTGTATCCAAAGATGGAACCCAATTAAATTCTATTGCTTTTTAAAACTATTACTACCCATTAAAACCAAGATGTAACTCTCTGGGTAGTCCAGGAGTGTGGTGCATTTTGAATAGATTATTCAGTGTTTCTTCCATTAAAAAAAAAATAAGTCAAAATAATGTAATTCCCTTGAAATGTTTCTCAGAGGTTTTTAGCCACCTGCAGATGTAAAATAAATTGTAAAGTTAGGCTCAATCCTTTAATTACTCCTCTGAAGCCAGGATGACAAAGACAGTACATAACCGACTTCACTAATTTAACTTTATACCCAAAGTTAATATAAAAACCGTATAAGGAGTATCCTGTGATTTTTCACTCGTTCTCATCATGACTTTTGAGTCTGTCCTTTTGTGAATATATGAAAGGAAAGGCCATCTTTAAAAATATTCTGGCAGCAGTAAATCCACTCATATTTTGAACTGGCATTTCTGTTTTAATTCCATATCATGACCAGCAGAGCTATTGTGTATTGATTGTCAGTTTTCCAACAAGTAGAAAAAAATTACACGTTTGATATGCTTGGTATTAAACACTCTGGATATAATTTATTTCTTATATGATTCAGAATGTACTCTGTGGATATAAGTTTTCATTTTATTATAGAAGTACACATAAAGCAGATAAAAGATAGGATAAGCCCACTTTTTCTGATTCACATTTTTGCTAAGTTTCATTTGTATCCGATAAACCTCTAAGAATGTATTCACTTGCACAAAACAAAATCTGAAACTAAGAGATCTCTAAATATGTGTTTTATTTTGATGGATGAATAGGATGGAATCAACAGATAAGTGTGAAGCCGTTATTGGTCATTTTAATGGAAAATTCATTAAGACACCACCTGGAGTTTCTGGTATGTTGTTTGTCTAAAATTTTATCAGTAATTTTTTATGTGATGTATGTATAAATTTTAGCACTTGATGTATCAAGAACCAAAAACCCCTCATCTAGCTCTTAAAATTTATTTCTTTGGTCCTACAAATAAGACTTGAAGATGCATTTCTCCCAGACATTGAGTGTTTAAAAATGAATGGGAGCCATCCCAGTGGGAGGGAGGGTCTGACTTGTAAGGCATTCAGAAGCCCCTCCTTCTCAGATGCCCAGGCCTCCTCTAACCCACCTCCCCTACCATCCACCAGCCTCAGTAAATCTGTCCTGCAGTCTTATCCACTGAGCCGCATGGTACTCTGCATCACAGCTCCTGCCTTTCTTGTGGAAGATCTCAGCCTGGGTTACCCTGCACCCCTTACAGAGCCTGGACCTCAGTCCCTACGGCCCTTCCGTCCACCCCATGGTAGCCACCTCCTCCTACCACTCTGCCTTGTGTTGTCATGACCAAGAACACAACACCTTGGGAGTTTTCATTCCCAGATCACACTCATTCTTGGCTCCCACTAAACCTGATCCAAATTTCAATGGGGTCCTTCTTTACCTCTTTTCCATCCCCACCAAATCTGGTCTCCATTTTAGCGGTATCCTCATTTGTCTTGTACCCCATCCCTCAGTCACACCTGTCTCACAGAATGCTAAACCTGGATTAATTCTACAGCAGGCCACCTTCTCTGCTCCTGTTACATCCGGGAAGGTCAGGGTTGTTTCCAGCTTGACCAGACCCTCACCATCACTGGTCCTCACCACGCAGCTTTCTCATCCTTCCCTGGCTGCAGTCTCCCCTCGAAGCCTGCCCACTTCTCCCTTAACCCCCTCTCAACTCTAAGCAGATGACTTCACTTCTCACTTGATGAATAAAATTGAGGTCACCAGGTGGAAACACCCATCAACTTCCTGTTTCCTCCCAGCAAGGAGAAAGACCACACCCAGCCCCATTCTTGCCTCCCTCCTTCCTAAAGTCTCAAGGACAAGGGCTCCCAAAGCTGTGGCCTTGATCACATCTCATCAGGACCTTGCTCTGCCAGTTATCCCCTCCCTCTCTTAGGATTTCACATTTCTTTTGCTTTTATTCTTTTTTTCCCACCAACAAAACCAATAACCTTTATTTTCAAAAATAATAGATCTCTGGCATGACTGATTAGTAGAGAAATGCAAGAAAATACACAAATAAACAATACTAGGAACAAAAGTTGTGACCGTAGAGAAATGCAAGAAAATACACAAAGAATACTAGGAACAAAAATTGTGACCGTGACTACAATAGACATTTTTATTTATTTAATTAATTTATTTATTTATTCATGAGAGACAGAGAGAGGCAGAGGGAGAAGCAGGCTCCCAAGGAGCAGGGAGCCCGATGCGGGACTCAGTCCCAGGACCCTGGGATCATGACCTGAGCCGAAGGCAGACGCTTAACCATCTGAGCCACCCAGGCGCCCTACAATAGACATTTTTAAAATCACAGAATACAGTGAACAAAACTATGAACTACTTTATGCCAACACATTTTAAATTTCAAATAATTTACCAGAAAAAAATCTATCCACTTGTGTTTGAGATCATTCAGGTTTCTGTGATCTTGAAACTAAAACTAAAGCACTGTGTTCCTCTGTAGCCCCTTCTCGCATAAACCTTTGAAAAGCGTAGTCCCCATTTCTGTCTTCCATTCACACTTCAGCCCTCCCCAACCTGACTTCTCCTCCTTGTGTCTCACATGGTAAACTGTCCATATTAGTCTGCTGGGCGGTCATGACAAAGTACCCCAAACTGGGTGGCTTAGATGATAGAAATATGTTGTCTTGGTTCTGGACGCTCAAAGTCCAAGATTAAGATGTTGGCCAGGATGGAGGGAGAATCTGTTGCAGGCCTCCCTCTGTCCTTGGCTTGTAGGTGAGCATCCTCTCCCTGTGTTTCTTCATTCCATTTTCCCTCTGTGCATGTCCATCTCCATGTCCACATTTCCCCTTTTTTTTATAAGGACACCAGTCATTCAATCAGGGCCCATGCTAATGACCTCTTTTTAACTTTAAAGACGCTATTTGTAAATAAGGTCCTCTTCTGTCATTATGAGTTACTGAGGGTTAGGACTCCGGCTCTTTTTGGGAAGGGTGCTGGGTGGGGGGGTGGGTAGTGGGGACACAATTCAGCTAACACTTAACCTCCTGATTATCCAATTCGGAGGCTTCCCCCTCTTTCTGATGCTGTCTGCTGTACTTAATACTGCTGGTCCCTTACCCGTCTCTGAAACACGTCCTCCTTTGACTTCTGCTTCACCTGTCTCTCTATTTTCTTTCCGTCCTGCGTTAATTTCTTCTCATCTGTGGGCTTGTTTCTTCCACCTACTCCTTAATTGTTGCTGTTTCCCTGAATCCTACTTCTGGCTCACAGTTCTAATAGATGTCATGCATTCTCAAGGTTTCAACTAGTATGTACATTCATACAACTCGGAGACAGTCCTCTCCCGCCCTGGCTTTGCCCTGAGCTTCAGGCTGCCTGGTCTTAGTCACCACACAACCATCGTCTTCAAAGCGAAACTAGCCCCCCTTCCCATCTAATCCTGCTCCTCTTCCAGTTGTCCTTTTCTCAGTTAGTGGGACCAGTATCCAGCCAGGCACTCAAGTCAGGGCTGAATCACCCTGGGCTGCCCCTTCCCCTCCATCCATCATCTCTCACATACAAAGCCATTCAAGTCCTTATATTTTTCCTCTTGATAATTTCTAGAATCTACCATCTCCCCTCCATCCCTCCTACCACAGCCTAGCTTAACCCCGAATCTCTCACCAAAGCCATTACGGCAGGCTTGTAATTGCCTGCCTGATCGCTACCCTTTCCCCTCCAGATACCCTCCCTGACTCCGGCCAGAGAGTTTGATAAAATGTAGGCCTCTGTATCACCTTCCTGCTAAAAGTCCCCTTCCTCCCATAGCGGAAAAAACCCAGGCTCCTAGAATGACACTGAAGGCCAGAGGTGATCGAGCTCTTGCCTACTTCTTCAGTCCTGTCTCCCTCCGTTCTCTGCCTTACTGTGTGTCCTCCTCCAGGACTGAGCTATGAATATATTCCAAGCACACCGTGCTGCTCCGTTCCTCTCCTATTATTTCCAACCTAGTGCCCTTCAGTTCCCTTTAACCCGGCTCTCTAGTCCTCGCCCTCCAAGACTCAGTTCCAGGCTCGCCTCCCCCCTGGCAGAGCCCCCTCTGGTCCAGTCGGTCTGTGTGCACAGCACCCTGAGGACACACGCCTGTATCCCAGCCCTGAACATGTTCACACGTGTCGCTTTACTAAACTGGGAGCTCCTGGAAGGCAGAAACTGTTTTCTCATGTTGCTGTTTTCATCCCAGCACAGTGCATCCACCGTACTAAGCAGCGATAAATGTTTGTGGGTTTCGTATAAACTTCACTGCACTATCCCCAGGACAACGCTACGTGCTCACACCTAGCGTGCTGGTGGCTGACCACAGACCAGAAGACATTTCCGTTTTCCCCCACATGCCAGCCTGTGCGTGGGTAACTCATGTTCACTATCTATTCTGCGGTAGTTCCAGAGTTTCATCCTTAACTGGATGGCTGGTGGTTGTGGTTAGAGATTTACTTGCATTCTCTATACCCAGTTGAGTCTCACAGCATAGAAGAACCTATTAGTAAGTACATCCGATACCACAGTCTACCCTTCTACCTTGGACTGCTACAACCTGAGCACGCACAATTTGCAGGGCTGCGTGTGAGCTTGAACCGCCTGCAGGCACGAGTCTAGATCATCAAAGACCGGGGAGTATGCTCTTCCAAGGAACCCAGCCTTGTGCAAGAGCTTCCTTTTCGGTTTTTGAGTTGGTTTCATTTTCCCATCAACAACACTTGAGTTGAAGGAAAATAGAAAGCGATGTTTTTACCCTCCAACCAAGTAAAGACAAGAGAGAAATTTAATACATGGGAACTTTCTGTCAGACCTACCCGGTGGGGGCTTCTGCAGTTAACACGTGTGCACAGCTGACTCCTGGTGTTCTCCTCACTTCCCCATGTCATCCGTGTCAGGACCCCGCAGTATTAGTCCCTCAGAAGGGCTGCTCGGCCACCCGCCAGTGATGCCTGACTTTCTCAGCTCATTTTTATGTACAGCAAGGAAAGTTCGAGCACAAGAAACATCCCCGCACGCAGTCGTTTTGATGTTGTATCAGTCGCAAATGCGATAAGATCTCCCGTTTCCTGAATGAAGTAGATCTCAGGGTGTCACAGATCGAGGTCGAACAGGTTCCTTTTTTCTCCAAAGGACTTCATGGTTGTATCATTTAACTGTTTGCTTTGAAGTAGGTGTAAAGACTGTTGGTCATACCTGTTCAAGGGAAAAAAGACCTTGATTTCCAAACCCCATGTAAAGGATTGTAGGATTCTCTGTACCTTTGCAACTAGGAGAGAACAGTTTCTTCCACATCGTGCCAGGTGTTGACTAGGAAACCAGATTCCTTCTGCCTCAAGAGAGTCTCTGCTTGGGGGTATGCAGTCAGGCCATTCTCTTTGTTCTGAATCAGAACTTAATTTTATGCCGTTTTCTAACATTTCATGATTTCGTCGATGTGTTAGTCCCCAGCTAGACTGCAAGTTCTTTGGCAGCAGAAGCTGTGTTTTATTTTTAATTTTGTGCTGGGTGCAGAAAGCTCGTGCCTCGCCCTAGAACCAACAGAGGTTACCAAGTGGTTTCCAAGAGCATTTTTCATGTAGGGCTCGTCAAAATAATCATGGCTATTTTGAGCGTTTTTCTGGATACTTTGCATATAAGCAAGTTTGAACTGCCTTTCGGCAGGGGTTTGAAGTGTATAATGCGGGCCTCAGAAGCACGCTGTTCCAGGGAACTCAGCTTTCCCCCAAAATAAGTCCCAAGTGGATTTGGGAACCACAGCAGAATTTGAAACGGTCTTCAACTTATCTGGATTTCCCCCCCTTTTTTTGTACACCTAATACGAGAATTTTCTTTAACTCCCAGTCTGCTGATTAGATGCTGCATTCTCAAATTACCTGAAGGGCGACTCCACACCATAGGTTTCCTCATGAAATGTATAGATTATTTTCAGTAGAACCAGATGAAAAACAAAAATACTGCAGGCCAGGGTAAATTGAATGAGCCTTCACCTTAAATGATGTAGGTTCATTGCTAAGCAGACATAACATTTCATAAATATAGTCAGAGAATGGTTTCGTCAACGATGCGCGTTGTTTAGCTGGCAGAAGCAGAATCATCCAGGACGGTTTCCGGCAGGGCGCTCAGATTCTTGCATGACTGGCAATTTGCCTTTGACATTGGCGCCAAGAACAGAAGAGAAACCCACGTTAGATACAACTCCCCAAAAGATGCTTTATGAAAATTAACAAACTGAACAGTGAACTCATCTTCACTTGTAACAGTCTTAAGAAAGTCTCCAAACGGCTAAGCAGGAGTTGTCACTTCTCATGGACCACCTGCCCTCCTGCCAACATGCTCTTTTCATACCAGAGCAAAGTGGCTGGGTCCTCCCCTGCCGGACACACCCCACCCTGTCCTGGGGAATGGTACATAATGTCGTACATGTTTGTAAAAGCTCTCTGAAAATCCACATCACAGTTTTTCATGCAGTCTCCTTTCTGAAGTTGCTTTTTAAAAATCTTGTGCTTTTGTGCCTGATGTTACCGTGTTTTCAAAGAGGCTTTGTCTTCTAGCAGGATCTTCCTTAAATATACATAATGGTTTATGTTGGGAAAAAAATTACTCATGAGACCATTCCTTCTTATCTTTTCCCATATAATCTCTCCTTTTTTTCCCCCTGAAAATGTGGAAGCATTGTCCTTTCTTTGGATTTATCTTGGTTTTTATCTTGCTTTTGAGTGTGAGCTGGTTTGCAGTAAATCAGATCTGCTTGGAAGGTCCCCATTCAGGGTAAAAGAACCAATGACTACTTTTGTAAGACAATCTAGGTGAATTCCATAGAGGTTTAAAACAACTTAATATCTGCTTGATAAAAATTCTGTTATGGAGAAATAGTAGGGTGGTGGTTTCCCACACAGTGAATGTCAGTAACAAGGGATGGGAAGTTCTAGTTAGTTAGAACAGATGTCCAAATTGGGAGACATGCCCAAGGCAAAAACACTGTCACTCATGGTCATGATTCATGGTTTTTTCTAAGAAAATGCCCTTCCTATACCTGCCTGAAAGAGAGAACAGTCTCTGGGAAGACTAATTAATGCACATCGGCATGTTAGCTAGAACTGTGCTAGAGCTGCTTGCCCTGTGCCTGCTGTTTTTCCCTGTTGGGGGGGTGGGCAGGGGCCAGGCATGTGCGCACACACCCACCCACACCCACACACACACACACACACACCCGTAGACAAAGTCCACATGTGTGTTCATGTTAGAGGAGACAGTGTGATTACCCATCTTTCTGAACTTCTCCGTGACATTAATGGAGTCTGAGTAAGTCCCTATGTGCTAAGGGCAGAGAACTTTTTAAAAGAAGATGTGTCTAGTCAGCAGATCTGTGAGTCGTTAGATTCTTGGTACGGCACTGGTACCATTTGCCACAGCCCAAAGCCTCCTCCGTCATGGAGGCCCTCCAATGAAGTGCATAACTGCTAGCCACCTCTGGCCAAAGGCCTCAGCTTGTTTTACATCTGGTTTCTGTGTTACTCTGACTTTTCAGACTGGGTATATATGCCCAGCAAGGCTTGAAAACTGCTCTTGCCCACATTTTGTAACTCTGTGTCCATGGGTGATATCATTAGGGCACTGTCCTATGCCAGGAGGCAGAAAAGGTACTGTTTAGAGGAGAAACTGACTCTAGCAGAAAGGCTGAAAATCTTTCAAGGGTGTTTATTGTCCATTTTGTTTTTGAATGTTTGTCTTAAGCACTGTTCCTCTGTTAAAAAAAAAAATTTGGCAGCTCTAGGATAAAAGAAACGCTTGAAGCCATGTGTGATGCTCCTGGTACATTTAAGACAATGTGATCCCACTTTTGGGATTGCAGTGTGTTCCTGTCTCCCTTACCCAGTGTGTACATAGAGCAGAATCTGAACATGCGTCATGTGCAGACAGAGGCTCCAAGGGCTGCATGCATCTTAGGAGCAGTCGCTGCCGTGAAAGCAAAAGTGCTCAAACACTCGAGGGTGGCCAGTGGGGAGAGGGCTGTCTTGTAGATCTCAAACTCAAACTCAGTCTCTAGCATGGAGGGTAAATCTAGTTTTTCAAAAGTAACAAGGGAATCACAACTGGAAATGGGCCAGCGTTTCCGCCTAAGATGCTCGGCGTGCCGGACCAGCCCTGTGCTGCGCCTACCTTTGAACAGTTGTTGTCCCCGCCGATCACAGCCAGCCCACAGCACGTTCCTCGCATCGGTTCGACACCTTTTCACCTCGGGTTCTGCCAGGGAGGAACAATAAATGGCAGAGTAAAATTTTATTAAAGCATGAGGACCTTGGGTGGGAGATGTCAGAGTACTAGGAAACAGTTTTCTCAAAGGCATTTGCCAGCACCTTCATCCTTAACTACAACTTGAACATTTCTTCATTGTGTGTGAAGCCAAGGCGGCAACCCTAGCCAGCTTGTTAAAAATCTCACAAAATAAAATTCCATGAAAAACAGGCCAGTCTCTAAAAATGTTTATAACTTTTATAAACCAAAAGTCCCTCTCCTGAGAATTTATCTTAATAATTCAAAGAGGAAGAACCATAAATCAAAAATTTGAGTTCCTCCTGCTGTCCCAGTATAGAAACAATAGCTAATGTGCATTCACCTGTTCTAAATACTTTGTTAATTGTGACAACCCTCTGAAATAAGTATAGTTACTTTCCCCATCCCACAGATACGAAACCTCAGACATTGAATAATTCGCCTGGAATATTCGTCACAAAGGAATAAAGGGCAAAGCGAAATTTCAAACCAGGGAGACTAGTCCAGAGCCAGTGTTCTAATTACCATACAGTCTGACCACCAATTTAGCAGTTGGCACTGGGATTAAAGAGATAAGTAAGATATACACACAGATGTTCATACAGTGTTCGTTATAATAACAAAGAAACTATACATAATCCCAAACAGAACCTTATGTAACACTTTAAAAAAAAAAAAAAAAGATTCTATAACCAGATAGGGAAAGTCCACAATGTAAAGGGTAGGAGAAAAAGACCTATCGTTGCAAATATGAAAAATAAAAACTGAGAAAAGCAGCAAATATAGAATATTAAAATATTTAAGTTGGAGTGATGGGGAAGGATTATATTTTTGTTTTTTATTTAACCTGATTTAAATCATGATTTTACTGGTAGGGAAAGCTGAGTGGGAGAAGGAACCGCTCTATAAGGATCAGGAAAGGAGGAGAGCACATACATCTGTGGAGAGAAGCTGGAGCTGTAGCTGGTGCTTGGACAGGACAGGATTTGGCTAGAAACAAAGAGGAGGCTAAAAAGGAAGTGATGTCGTGCACACAAAAAATGGATAAAATGTATTGGATCCCTACATCGAAATCGTTGAAGAGCCCCAGATAGCTCCTTGCATGTTGCTAGTTGAGGAATTTTGAAAGTAGGCAACATTATCAGAAAGAAAGCTAATTACAGTTGCTGAGTGGGCTGGTTTTCCACAACTGATGGAAAAGCTTCTATCGAGGGCAGTTCACGTTTTACAGAATGTTGATTAGGAGAAATACTGCTTAACTAGAAAAATGGGAGTTTGGAAGTAGCAATTTCTCCAGCTGTTAGAACACAGTGAGGAAAAGGTCCATTCGGTTACAAACTACA